GAAATCTGTACTACTTCATCTAACTCGAGGTTTCTACTATGCAGATCACTTGCTCATAGATCCTATCAAGATTTATTCATATAATGTTATGCCCTGTTGTATGCCCTGTCACACTTCCAATACCCAATTAGTATTGGTGCAACATGATTTACAAAGTTACAACCCCAGAAATGAGCAAAGTTTACCGTAAGTTAGATACAGATGTCTAAGTAATTATTCAATTCTATATATAGTGGAATTTGAACCCTAGACCTCTTGCATGGCAGTCCAACAACCTAACCACTACACTAAGATCACCAGACCCACAAAAGATATTTTAGAAAAACCAGATGATTATAATCAAAAATTAGAAGAAGAAATTAATTTATTACAAAATAATGAATTTAAAAAATCTTTTGATTAACAATGTTGTGAAAAAAATTGTTTACAAACTCAATATAATTATTCAATAGCTTTGTTATGATATTTAAATTTTAAAAATCTTTCTAAATCTTTTCAAGATATATATTTATTAGGTATTATTGCTGCAACTAAATGATTAGGCATATTTAGAAATTTAAAAAAATCTAAACTTTTTACAGAATATATTTTTGAAGAAAAATTAATTTGTTTAAATGCATTTAAAACAATTTATAGACTTGGAGATACAAGATGGAAAAATTTAAGAGAACATTTTGCAGAAAATGATATTAATTTAAGAAAAAATTCTAAAACAAGAAAAGTAGGAAATAGAGCATTATCATTTGAAATAGTAATGAATGTTATTACTTTTATAACAAATTATGCAAAACAAAATAGTTTATCTTCTTCAGGTATTTTGTTTAGATTAATTATAATTATTTGTTTTTAAATTTTAATTAATATAAATTTTATAGGTCGAAGTTTTCATGATAATACTAGTATAATTATATATTTACTAGCAGATATAACTTATTTATCTTTGCATATTCAATATTTAGAAGCTATTAAAAATAATGATCAATATAAAGTTTCTTTAAATACATTTAATAGAATTTGGAAAAAATTTTTATCTTATATTAAAAAA